AATTTCAACAATGAAAAAATGCAATTATTTTTGCACCAACCTTGTACCTATTCTGATTTTTAATTACCTAGCTGATGGCATGTATAGATTAAGAGTATATACTACTCCTGTAAGTTCCTGTTTCCTTATGACAACTTATTCCTAAAGGAATGGATATCATTGCTAGAATGTACACAAAGACATATTCACAGGTTTTGTTTTTTTGGATAAGAGTAATACAGTTACTAAATTTTAAAAATTAAAAAAGTTTACAAAGAGAACAAACTTCTAATTCTGTTAATGACAGCCTAGGTAATTTACATTAACACTTTGGTTGAACACAGCTAAAAACCATGGATGAAATATTTTAATTCTTAAAATCATTAAAGAGCTACTAAGATAAATAGAAAACAGTAGGCCAACTCTTAGAAGACAAGAAACAAGAAAAGTGCAGTACACAAAGGCATATTTTTGGCCTCAGGGCATTTGTCAATTTAGTAGCAATAGCTTCAGTTTTGAAATTAACCTGCACTTTTGGTGGGATCATAGAGGTTAGGGAGGCAAAAGACAAAGTCTCTGGTCCACCAAGGTGAGCACTCTAAGAAACCCACACTCACTTTAAACTAGCACTCTGGAATTCACTCTCAAGGGTGAACTGGAAATAAAAAAGTCCTTGTCAGCCTTTCAGACCAGATTTTTGCCATTTTGGTGTCAAGAGAAATTAAAGCATTGAATTTGTATTATGATCCTTGACATGTATTTCAAATTACTATCAGAAAAAAAATAAAAATCCTCTTTGGAGAAAGACAGCATTATATCCTACACATATGTTTTCAAGTACATGTTCAGCAGACAAAGATAATCAGATACATAAGAAAACAAGACCCCAAAAGGGAAATCCAGGAGAAATAACAGACACAGAACCATAGAAAACTTCAGATATTATAATCGGCAAACTCAGATTACAAAACAATTATGATCACTGGGTCAAATAATAGCCAACCTTGGGAATTTAATCAAGGAACCAGAAACCATAAAAAATGACTTAGATTTGAAAAACAACTAAATAAAAATTCTATAACTGAAAAAATAAATAAATCATTTGATAGGTTTAACAGCAGACTAGATACAGCTGAAGGGAGGTTAGTGAACAATAAAATTCGTCAGGAAAAAAAGCATCAAGAAGGTAGCTTAGCACAACAAGGTGGAAAATGCAAAGAGAATAGAGAGCTATAGAGGAAACAATGAAAACTTGATTTGGAGGTTCAGAAGTTGATGAATGACCGTATTCAAGAATAGCTAAAAATTTTCCTGAAATTGATTTAAAAAAAAGATGTTACTCTACAGTTTCTAAAAGCTCAATGAATCACAAGCAGAATAAAAATAAATCCAAACCCAGATACAGTAAGCTGCAGAAAAATACATGCAAAAAGAACACAATTTGAAAGCAGACAGCCCAGCTTTCTTCAAAGGAATGACAGACTGAGAACTGCCTTCCCAGGAGCAAGAAAGGCAGCAGAATGATAGCGTCTATGTGCCAAAAGAAAGTAACTTTCAACCTAGAATATCCATCTAGAATTGAGAAAGGCAAGATAAAGGTCTTTTCAGATCAACAAAAATGGCAGAGTTCTCTACTAGCAAGCCAATACGAAAGCAAACCCTGAGGCAGGTCAGCAAGGGTCCAGAAAGAGCTAGACAGTAAATATTTCAGTCTTCCAGGCCATAGGGTACGGTATCTGCCAACCACTTAACTCTGTTGTTGTAGTCTAAAGAAACTGTAGACAGTTAACAAATGAACAGCCTGGCAGTATTCCAATGAACCTAGTCACAAAAATTGGCAATGGCCTGGATTTGATGAGTGAATTGTATATTGCTGACTCCTGTCCTAAAGTTTAAACATCAGACAAAAGGGAAATGATCCCAGGTGGAAAGGCAGAGATTCCAGAAAGAAAGAAAAAGTGGTAAATAAACAAACATTAATATGAAATTTTGTTTTAAAAAGCCATAATGAACTGGGAATTCCCAGGTGGCCCAGTGGTTAAGACTCTACCCTTTCACTGCTGCGGGCCCAGGTTCAGTCCCTAATCGGGGAGCTAAGATCCTGCAAGCTCTGGGGTGCAGCCTAAAAAAGAAAAGAGAAAAAACAAACAAAAAATCTAAACCATATGACTAACATGTGCAGTTATCTTGGGAAGAGGTTTAAATGGAGTTAGTTTTTTTGGTTCTCTGTATTATCTCTCTGGGTGAAGTGTAAAGGCATTGATTAGACTTTGATACATTAAAAATGCCCCTTTATAACTTCTAGAGTAACTGCTAAAAGAATAAAAAGACTAAAATTTCCAAACTATGAGAAGGGGAAAAAATGAAATGATTAAAAGGCAGACAAGAAACGAGAGAAAATTAAACCTAAAACAGGTGAGATAGACAAGAGCTTTAAACTCAAGGATGTATGTAATTACATGAATATAAGTGAGTAAATGCTTCAATTAAAAGGCAGTGAATATCAGATTATTAAAAAAGACAAAAACTATGTTTTCTGAAAACAGGAGATTTATCTAAAATGTGAGCAATCAGAAAGGTAGAAAGTAAGCGAGAGATAAGAACTAAACTCTCTTCACTAACACAAACTATTTCAATATTTTAGTACATTTTCCTCTTAAGGATGGCGTGCTGTAGTCCATGGGGTCGTAGACACGTGTCCATGGACACGACTCAACGACTGAACTGAAGGATACTGTACATGTAATAGTGTTAGTTGTTCAGTCGTGTCCCACTCTGCGACCTCATGCGCCACCAGGGACGGCCATATATAATAGTGCATTTCTCTCACACGTATTAATTTGTAAATTTTTCTTTTACTGTAAATAGTTTCCAAAGGATGATATTCCACGTATTTGGAGTTGTTTGAATTTTCAACTCTCTGAATAACTGGTAGGAAACTATCTTTTCAGTTACTAAATACTGCAATGATTCTGAGATAGACCCAATATGCTTTTTTTTTTTCATTTATTTTTATTAGTTGGAGGCTAATTACAGTATTGTAGTGGTTTTTGCCATACATTGACATGAATCAGCCATGGATTTACAAGTATTCCCCATCCCGATCCCCCCTCCCACCTCCCTCTCCACCTGATTCCTCTGGGTCTTCCCAGTGCACCAGGCCCGAGCACTTGTCTCATGCATCCAGCCTGGGCTAGTGATCTGTTTCACCCTAGATAATATACATGTTTCGATGCTGTTCTCTCGAAACATCCCACCCTCGCCTTCTCCCACAGAGTCCAAAATTCTGTTCTGTACATCTGTGTCTCTTTTTCTGTTTTGCATATAGGGTTATCGTTACCATCTTTCTAAACATATATATGCGTTAGTATACTGTATTGGTCTTTATCTTTCTGGCTTACTTCACCAATATGCTTTTAAAGGGATCTTTGGGGACTTCCCTGGTGGTGGGGCCAGTGGTTAATTATCAGAGTCTTCCCTCTCAAGCCGCACGGAGGGCCGAATAAAAAGGGTGTGGTGGGGGGCACCTTGAGGCTACAATTGCTATTTCGTGTACATTTTTAATTGATCTTGCTAATAAAGTTCAAAGGCAATGTATATAACATTTTAATGCAACAAAAATTTTCACCATCATTTCCTTTCAAAGTACCTGTGTCTCCTCTTAAGGGATTATTATTTTACAATAAAGGTTAAAACAAGGCTCCGGGATAGGTATTTTCTGTGAGCTCATTTAGTCCTCACAAACGTATAGCTTCATCGGAGGTTGAGATTTAATTAAAAAAATCACTGAAGGTCCCACAGTTAGGAATCCGTCCACCTACGTCTGGAACGCAGGGTGATGGCTAAGCTAACCCAACCCACCGGCTTTCTTTTCCATTGTCAAAGCTGCTGATGTACCAAAAAGGCCTCATCCTTCAAATTTAGCTGTCAAGTAGGAAAAAAAAATTCTCTACAAGATGACCTCCTTTCCTTTCCTAGAATACTGCTTTTTATAGCTTCTAATTTAGGCTAACAGCTTCCTGCTATATAAGTAACGATGATAAATCCGAATGGGTTGGATGGCCTGTGCTCCTAGTGTATTCATTTCAGGCGTTATTTCCTGAACCTAACTTATAACTTAGTCCAGTTGGGCGGCTGAAAGCCTCTCTGCATACGACCCAGCTGTCAGATCTCCAGGGCTTCTTTCGTAGAGTCGGGTCACAATGAGAAAAGGGTTGAGCCTAAATGATTACAGGCCCCTGGGTCTATGAAAACGAGTTAATTGGTCAGGTCAATGAGTACTGTCAGGAATACGCCCGTAATAGCTACTAACGCTGCTAACCTCCGTCGAAATGCCAGATACGGTTTCTACTTACTTTCGACTCTGGCTAACCTTCTGGCCCACTGGCTAACTTGGGTCTGGCTCGCCAGCACACAGTGCGGCGAAGCCCTAGCGGACCCGCAGCCGGGAGAGCGAGGTTTCGCGCCCGGGGCGGATCCGGTTTGAGGCACCCGAGTCTCGCGAGATCTGGAGGCAGGGGCGGGAGAGGCCGGCGTGCACGTGCCCGAGAGACGTTAGGGTGGAACCCCCGCCCCGTGCGGGGCGGGCGGAGCGAATACAGTTAGACGCCAGTTGGTGGAGCCCCCGCGGGAAACGACCAAGCGCGAGGAGCGTGCGCGCTCACGTCGCGGCGACGGTGGCGGCGAGCGGCGTCAGAACTTGAAGGGGGGGGCCGACGTCTTCTGGCGGGTGGCGGTGTTGGAGACGAGAGCTTGCTTAGTCGGTATTGCTTCCGTCCCAGAAACCGACGGAAAGAGAGGGAACGAGGGTCGCTTTCGGGGGCTCTTGACTTCCATGTACGCGTCGTCGTGAGGAGCCGCAGCCCGGACTCTCCTGCAACCCCTCCGGCTTCCTTTCCGCACGTCTCGAGGCAGCGGCGGCAGAAACAAGCGTCTCAGCGCCCCCCACCCCTTCCCCTGTCCCCCCGGCCCGAAAGGGCCCTTTTTGCGCCCCACCCCCGCCCGCCCGCTACGCCGCCGCCATGTCGGCGCAGGCCCAGATGCGCGCGATGCTGGACCAGTTGATGGGCACCTCCCGGGACGGTAAGTCTCTGCCAGTGCCCTGGGGGTGGGGGAAGGGATGGGGAAGGCGAGGGGAATGGGCTCCGGCGGGCGCACCTGGGCTTGTGTGTGTGGCTGAGTAAGGGGCTCCCAGATTGGTAACACGAGGTCCTGGCTCCCGTCCCATCCAATGAGGGCTGGGCAGGCGGGCCCGGGGGGCGGCGACCGAGCGGATTGGCGGGAACTGCTGCCAATGGGGTCAGGCGGGGCCTGGAGCCTGAAAGGAGAGTTTGAGCTCCGAGTGTTGACTTGGCTGGGACGGGAGAGCCCACGTCTCTCATGCGTAGTCGGGCGGCCTGCCTGGTCGCTGGTTAGGTACCTACGGACCGCTAAGGCCTCCGCCCCCTGAACTAATTCCTTAACCCAGAGCTGTGGGATCAGCCCTCGCCGCCGCCCTGCGGAGTATCCAGAGAGAAATGGTCCCCACCCTCCACCCCTTTACCTGGGTCCGGAGAAAATCTTTCCTAGAATCCAGTCCCAGAGATGAAACCACCATTCTTATGGGAAAATCTGACCCAAACCATGGTTTCCTGAAGCGGGTGTGTTTGGCCCATTTTGTGAAAAGAATGTTAACGGCCTGTTTTTTCCGAGAGACCTCCATTTTGTTAGACAATTTAATAGAAGCTTTGTTCAGTAAATATTGACGAACTTTGCATGTGCCCCGAATAGAACCATTTTGAAAATGTGGTGCCCAGTGAAGTAGAATTGAGGGAAACAACGATGCTTTTAGGCGCTTAGGTTAGTGTTTGTACAAAGAACCACTATTGACTGGATATCTTTTTGTCATAGAGAATTTCTAGGTAAGATGAAATGCTGTTGCTTTTTTGATGATGGTGATTAGTAATATATTCTTTGAAATTCGAGTGAAGCCCATGCTAATATGGAGGAAGGGTCTAGTCCACTACTTTGTTAGAAACAAAGCCAATACTTGCTCATTTTTATATGTTGCTTGTTCAGGCAAATAGTTTCTTAGCCATTAAACCAATACTTTTTTCTTGACAAGTTACTTAAGTTGTTTGATGTAAGAGAAAAGGCACACTTAACTTTTGAGCAGTCGCTGTTATAATTTCCTTGAGTGTTTTGCAGCAAAATGTGAGTAGATTTAAAACATTTTATTGAATTCAAATGTTTTTAGCAGTACATAATTTGCATGGTTTATCAGTGTTCATAATTCAGTTTTAATAAAAACCCACATTTGGAACTTTTCTTCTCAGAACGTATAGAAAAGTAGGTGTAGATCGCAAACCTACTTGTGGTTGTGTATAGAGAAGAGGAAGATTGGGAAGGAAATGGATTTTATTTTTGTAGTAAACCCTTGAAAGTTGGCATTAGTTAAAAATGCCACTGGAGAAACTTCTATCAGTTAACATTTTTCACTTTTAGGTTAGAGTGGTTTTTATAACTGTAGCGTTTAACATTGCTCCTTTTCCATTTTGAAGATGGTATTGAGAAGGGGCTTAATTCAAAATTTTAACTAACAGAATAACTAATCTTTGTAGTAAAATTATAGAAATCATTTTACTTAAGACATAATTTACACGATCCTATTAATCCTAGTTGGATGCCATTTTTGGTACCTTGCTCATGGATTTAGTTTCCTAATTTTACTGGGAGGGCAGTTGGATCAAAGCAACTATTACCACCTGATAAATTTCCAAACTAGACTGCAATCTACTATTGTAAAACTGAATTAAAATATATATGTGTGTGTGTGTGTGTACTCACACACATATATACATACATACATATTTTTCCTATGTGTGTAATCCGCAGAAACTTGCGTTTCTTAAAATCCACTCTGCTTTGTATACAGATAAATTTATATTTTTATGTGTCTGTTACTGGATTTTTTTTTTGCCTCCAGACTAAGAGGATTTACCAATGAACTCATGTTTACAAGTCCATGATATTATTTTAGCTGAAATGACTGGATTTTCACTGCTGTGTTGGGCTAGAAGTAAGAAACATACTACTTTCAAGGAGAATGTTTTTTAGATACCCAGATTAGTTCTTTTATGTATATAGGAATCAGAGCATACTTTTCCTTCTTACCACATAGTTAGTGAGTTTATATACTCATCTTATCCAGGACCTTCAAATAATTAGGATTTTTTTTTAAGTGTTCAGTCAACTTTAAGTTATCCAGGGATAGGGAATATGGACGCCTTCCTGAATAACACCATGTAATTTGAAATTATGGGAAGCTTTGTGTTGGACACAGGAACAGTTTAAGGGAATGGTTACTAAGTAGTGGAAGTGGGGTCCAAGGGGTGGGAGGGAGATGGAAAAGGTAGGTAGGTGAGTATTTAAAGCAGCTGTGTCCAGTTTTTTTTTTTTAACCCCAGAGACTGACTCTAAAGCAGCCACTGCCTTTTTGTCAGGGTGGCAGTAACCCCCCTCTGCCCTTAGAGTGCTGTTTGTGAGGGAGTCTGAAGTGGCGCAGGGAGCCAGGGCACCTGTACCTCCTTTGCCCCTCTAAGGAGAATTTATTTCCTCTTTCCCACCCCCCAAATCAGAATTTTTAATTAGTTCTTTTTAAACTCCTTGGAGATTTGGCTGTTAAATGTAACTTGGAATTACTTAAATCAGTTAATCTTGTAGATGACCAAAACTTTACTGAAATTCTCAGAAGAGGGACTTTTAGTAGGGAAAAGGTGAGGTAATTTTGGATCACTGGGCACTTCCAGAAAGGACAGTCCTGGGTGAGTGGTGGAAGTGGGAGGCTTTGAACAACCAGAGGGCAGCATGATCACGCTGGGAGGCTGGGCAGGGGGATGACCAGGAGGTGGGAGAGGAATGCATAAGGGAAGTGGGAGGGCCAAAGACAAACTTTGCCTTCTTTGCAATTTTGCCTAGGGCCCTGGTGGTGGCAACCGCCTGTGTGCCACTGAAAATCGTGCCGATGCCTGGCATACTGCATAAATGGAAGCAGGGTACCGCGTGAGTTGAAACATTGGTCACACTATATAAAGTTTGTATATGTGAATCAGTGTAACTCATACCCATGTAACTGGGGGTCTGACTGTATTTGGATTTTTCTGATAAGGCATCATGGGCTAAGGAAAAGAGCACTGGGCTGAGACTCAGGAGACCTGGTTTCTAGCCCCAGCTGTACCTCTAATTGTAACCTTGGGTAAGTCACTTAACCTTTTTTGCCTCAAGTTAAATCTATACTTTGTTAAATGAGAAGCCAAGTAATTTCTTATGTTATCCTCAAAAATGTTGACAAATAAGTATATTTTAAATTTTTTAAAAGGAAGAAACCATAGGTAGATATTAGTATCTTAAGATACATTAAATTTTATAAATACTTTGTTTTAGTTGTTAGCAGTAACAGAAAAGAGAGGGATAATTTGTTTTCCCCAACATATTCCATTCAAAAAGGAGAAGCGACACAGGAAAAGTCAAACAGCGGTTCAGTTGAATTGTTTGTGTGATGATTGGAGGAACCTAGTGTCCTCACACAGACTAGTCATTTTTGTTGTGTTGGTTTAATTGAAAGGATGTCCCTTAGCTAAAGCCCTTTTGCCAGCAAGTATGGTTTAGTTATGAGAGGTCTCTAGTCCTGACCCCAGAAAGGTCTTGCAAGATTTGAGGGATAGGAGTTAAACAAAATTGAGGGTGTAAATTTAGATTATTTTCTAAGTTTAGCAAGTAGGGAAGTTACAGAAGGTAGTTCTAAGGATTCCATACCTTTTAAATTGCTTATAACTCTTAAATGGGAACAGAGTCCATCTCTGAAAGGTTATACCAGGCCAGAAATAGCAATCTGTCCTCAAAAACAACCAGTAGACTATAGGGCTCAGAATATAGATTAGAATTTTACAGCATCATTTGTTGTCCATTATGGTTAGGGAATGTACAGGGCAAGTTAAAGCTTTCAGGTAATTTTAGCTGTTTTGGATGATAATCTTTCTGAACCTATGATGTACTTTCTCAGTTAACAGAGTACATTAACCATAATTAAATATTTTTGCTGATCATTTATATTGTACGATGGTTGTATCTTACAGGATGTAAAGTTAAAGGGACATGCACCCTAGGAGATAATCAGGAAAATGCAGTTCAGAAAATCAGTTACTTGTTCCTGGTACTAGTGATACATAACTGTTGAACCTATAGGACAGTATGACCATGCTGCTTTTCTTCAAAATAAATATTGAATCAAAGATTGTAGTGTTCTCGTCAGTGGATTTTCTTCATAAAATCACCTTGACTGTAATCCGTGTTCCTTGAGTTGTCATCAACATTGAGAGCATTTTCTCCTCATTTTCTCTCATTAACATATGGATCATTTATTTCTTGGTCAGTTGTAAATCATTCTTCTATTCCACTTGGATTATTCATTTTAAGTGAAGGAGGCATAGCCTTTAATGTGTAAGCACACATTTTTAAAAATATTAATGGGATATATCTAATTCTAGAGCTTGTGAATTCTTTTGATATTTTAAGAAAATTTAACAAACATTAAATAGTTAAACATAAAGTTAAACAGTTTTAGTAAACATAGGATTTTATCAGAGGTCCAAGCATATCAAAACACTGAAAACTGTTAACACCCACATAGTGAATTCATTTAAAAAAAACTAGTTTTGAACTCTGAATGATATTTCTGACTACAGTACAACTCAGAAAACAATAATAGTATCCACCTCCTACAACTCTGCATTGTTCTTGGATTTTCTACAGTTTAGCTCTCCTCAAGGAAACCTGTGTTTCTGAGACATTCTTTGCTTCGGGTAAAAGAAAAAAGCCAAAGAAATCATTTTGTCTATCAGTGCATAAGCTTTATAAGCAGCAAGTAAATACTTTGATTTGGTTTGATTAAAATAGGAATAAATGTTAGTGAGCTCCATCTTTAAGATGGGTTTAAAAAAAAAAAAAGATGGGTAGCAGGAAGTTAAAGGCAAGTAAGCTGTCATGGATGTGGGTGAGGGTTAGTGAGTCAGTGTTCAGTATCAGGTGGTTCATATAAACATTAA